TGTATGAAGGCCTTAAGTCTTTTTAAATTTAATAAAGGAGGACCATGTTGTATTTAGTATATGAACTACATTTGTGTGAACAAATTTAGCGAATAGCAGCCTGGATTCACTGTACATGCATGATGAATATATTGTGGTATTCGATTGTCTTGCAAAATCTCAGGTGGCTACAAAGGTTAAATGTATACAACAAATGAAGTGAAAAGCACCTATATGAATAATTCAATACAAGTAGCTAAATATACAACCGGTAGCATCAAACTGCATGAAAAGAATTAATAATTAATAGCTAGATCTAATTGATAATGTTATACTAGAATAATCTAATATAGATCTATAGCGTGTGTGCATGCAATAAGTATGAGTTAGTTTAGTTTTAAATGGCGAGTCCAAAGATAGTAGCAGCAATAAACACTATAGCAGCAAAAGGAGAATTCAACTCATTAGCAGCACTGGTAGGAGTACTAGTGCTGGTAGGATTTATAACATTAGTGGCACCAGTGGAGTGAGTAGGAGTACTACTAATGATACACTGCAAAAATAAAGGTGGGTTGTTCACACCAAAAAAGGTGTGTTCAAAAGTCATCATATAGCTCACTCCATAAGTGGTTAAATTACACTTTAAAAAGTGGAGATTTCCACTACTATAGGTGTGAAAAAGCTATCAATAATAGTGGTTCCGCAACATTTGCACAGTGGATAGTTCAAATAAACAAAAAATATTTAAAAAATAAATACTATAAATCTAACAATAAAAGATCAATGAAAGTGTCTAAAAAGTACCTATAAATAAGTCTCTATGTATAAAAGTATCTCAATAAAGTTTATTTCTATAAGTGACATAGTAAAAGTGCCTATAATAGTTTATACCATAATTAATTATTTCTTTCAGTTTAGGGTTCAATACTAGCTGACGACTTGTGAAGACAGGACAAAATAGTTTGGACTTTTCGATCAACTTTAGCTTGTTTGATATCAAGTAGTAGCATCTCAAGTAGCATAAAGTAACGGTGAAATCCTTTAGGATAACCTATATTAAAGTTGTAATATGATATCAGTAAGGCTATTGCACTCTCCTCTATCGGCAGCTCCAAAACCACAGTTTTGTCCACTACTAGAATCGATTTTTTTAATTCCAAACAACAAAGAAGAGTTGGTGTAGGGGAATGAACTGATGTTGCGGTTCTTTTAATATCTACTGATGCCTTTAATGAAGGTAATATAAATAATAAAACGAATCATTTGATAGTTACTTACAGGTATAAAAGAAATGATAGCTTCATGGTCTACTTTTTGACGACTATCAGATGGAACTAAATATACTAATAGTATCATTGGCAGTATATTATTGTATTCTAAAAAATTGACAATTATCACAGTAGTATTTTGACAAATACCTTCAGAATCCATTGTAGAGAATATGTCCGAGATACTTTTTTTTTGTCTTTCTCTTTTGCCCAAATCAAGAATGCATGGTTGCACATCTGTCCACCTGTCAAATGCTACCTTCCTTAAGTTTTCCACTTTCAATACTCTCTGGGCTTCTTCAACAAACTATCGTAAAATACAATGTGCATAATAATAATTAATAAGACATAATACATGCATAATACCTGATCATATATCACTAATGCTGGAAATTTGTCTATATAGCGAGCCGCATGCATTGGACTAT